GCCACTTTATTGGGCATTACGCGATGCGGTTAATTATTCGAAATTGCCTTAACGTGATTTCAATTTTTTATTATTTTTTCAAGCGGTTTTCAAGTGGACAGAGTTGCACTGAGACTGAAAAGAATTGATAGTTTATACAGTCCGTACAATATTTGTTGAGAAAGGGTTCCAAGAAAATAGGAAGCCAATAAAGTTCTGTTATCGAACTACTGTAACAATTTACCGCGGCAGGGATGTGCCTTGAAATTTCCCGCGTTATTTTCAGAATTATAAAATATATATATACGACTGGGAAATAAATTCTTTTCTTTTATTTTATAAATGGAATTATTTGCCGTAAATGTTATTTTATTATATTCAAATGTATATACTTTCGTCAAAACGATGTGAAATATTTACTATAATCTATAATTTTTCTAAGAATTTATATTGTTTGTAAATATATATAATTTAATTCAAATCTTTTATAGTTTTGAAATTTATTATCTCGGTTAGCTACAATATCTCTTACAGTTCATCATAAACTGCTAAACTGCATCATCAACTAACATATTTGTTTCAAAACTACCAGCTCCTTAATATATTTAAAATTTAGTATTAATGTATACAAGACAAATGTAGCATATTATAATCAAACTTATGTTTTCTTGAAAGAAAGGTGTAGGTCACAGAATGGCGTAGGTGGGAAGTAGCACGATAGATGGAGCCAGCAGTTACGCTCTGTGTATAGACATCTCCTTGTCAGTAACGACACTAAAGCAGCTGGGTCGTTCTAACTACGTAAGTCAATAAGTCCCAAAGCGACCTATGTCTAGTTGGTTAAACACATAAGAGTAACTAAATAAGAGGCTTTTATTGGATAGGGCGGATCGAACATGCATTCACTGAGGCCATCTCACGTTGTTGCAGCAGAACATTGTCCTTTATGGAATTTGTTAAACAGAAATCTGCAACCACAGATTCTGTATTTCCAAGCTTTCAATCAACAGAAATAGAATGCATTGACTGAAATATTTCAATCAACGTAGAGTAGAATAGAATGTTTGAGGTTTGAGGTTATAGTTTATCTTCGGGATTTCAGGTAGGTTGCCGCGTTTTATATACATTAATAAATTTGTTTTGTTTTAGATTAACATAATGAGGGATTTATTGAATCAATCGTCTGAACTGCCTTACTGTTTTTTATTCGTTTTTTTAATCCAAAATGAGTTTACCTGATAGAACTAAACGTCAATGTAGTGCTCCAAATTGCAAAAACATTTATTACTATATGAATATCTGTAATACGTTCTATAGAAATAAAAGTTTTTTCAGAATTACAAAAGACAGACAATTACTGTGGATAGAATCAGTTCGAAAATTATGTAAATCAGAATTTACTCCGTCAAACAGATCATTATTTTTGTGAAGACCATTTTGAGTAAAAAATGTTTAAAAAAACAGTAATAGGAAGTGCTGTGCCAACATTATTTTTAGGATCAACTACAAGTTCACCTATTAATTGTAATAATATCACCTCGGAATCCTCAGATAGTATCCAACATTCAGCAAAACAATATGTTAACGTAACATTACAGAATTTTCATAGTACGAGCTGCCAAACTTCAATTTAGGATGATTTTTCACCTCCACCTTTTAAAAAACCGAAATACATAAATATGTTTAAAATTGTTATTTGCTATAAGTGTAGTATATTACATCGTACTGATGAAAACCAATTACTTCGAAACAAATGTATCTAAGCATAATTTTTGTCAAGTCACTGTGCAATGCATTTACAATAATCACAAGTCTCCCTGTACTTTTTTTTTGATATTTAAATATTTTCGAATTCATAACTAAAATGAATTTTGTCACATTTAAGTAACACTGCTTTAACTTTTTCATTTAACCAAGTGATAATTAAAATATTTCATAATTAATAATGGGTCATGGAACAGGTGTTAATGGTTCACGTTAATTTCAATGATTAACTTAAAGCTGTTTTGTGATCTATTACTTATGAAACACTTTCTATTCTTTGTGTACTTTGCTACGTTTAAATTTACCGCCATTATGGTGCAGTGACGTCTATTAGATAGTAGAATCAATGGTTACTCTAATTGTGTTTTCCAATGCAGTTTCCTTAATTATTTTATGGTCTGTGGTTTCCGAGTGTGTCGTCTGCTGCACCAGCTACAGCTGGCGGTACTCTGCCGCTGTTGCCAACAGAATACACAGAATAAAACCCTCTTATTTAGTTACTCATATGGTTAAACTTATGAACGATCCTAGGCTGTTGTACTAGGTGTTGTAAGTTCGAAACAAAATATTTTTTATTCCAATCCAAATCCAAATATATTCTTAAAATAAGTATATACAATCAATCGACCAAAACTATTCAATTTTGGACAAAGAACATATTTCCAGCATCTGGGGGAAGTTGTGGCAACCTTCCCCGTTTAATAACAATTTTTCAAACCTAGTCCAACCCTGGACGTACTTCGATTTGACGATACCAACACAACAGCGCAAACCTTACGTAATAATTCACTCCTAGTACCGCTAATTTTTAGTGTTGGCATATGCATCGCAGGGTTTGTTAACAGCTTAATGGGTCGTTAAAGCCAGCATTCGAAAAACTTCAAAATAAATCTGAGCTTTTGTTGAGTTGTTCAGCGTAAAAATGCGTGGTACAGCTCTGAGTGCGAGAATGATGACTCTTTTCAAGTATTATATGCATATTTCATTCACGAAAAGTTCCGGAGGCAGAGTAGGATTCTATTGGAGGGCATGTCCTCATATTTTTATTTTTGTAAAAGTGAGGCACTTGCTTTTAGAGCTGAGTTGTTGGTAATTTAATATTTAATTAGTTATAAAGAATATCTAACAACGTAGACATTATTTTTTAGAATAACTCCATCTTGTTATACAGGGTGTTAATGAACTTATGTCAAAAATTTAAAGGGGTGAAAATGGAGCAAGTTAACTGATGTCACAAACTTGTATTAGAAGTTTAAGGTCGTAGAGAAAAAAGCTAATTAAAAATGTGTTTAAAACTGTTTTGGAACTGCTGAAATACATGTATTTTATCTTACTCACTTTTTTCGGAGACTGCGCGACTTTCTAAACATTACTTTTCCCACAGGCGAAATGGGAAACTATGAGGAATGGAAAAATAAAAATGCACTTTAGATCAACCTTAAAAAAAATATTATAATACCACCAAGTCTTTAGATCCTAATACTATAAATAATCTCTTTATTACGTCCGTAATTAGATCATCAGCAGATTTTAATACAAAATTTTAGTAATAACAACTATAAACGTTTGCAAAGTAATTTAATGTTTTAAAATGTAACAGGTGAAGAAGTGCATTTTATAAGTGAAATTAGCTCTAATGCAAAAGGTGTAAATGATGTTTAACTTGACATGCAAAGAGAAAAGACAATATAGCTGGAAAATTGTCAAAATATAGAAGTGTGCCACCAACCTACACAATGACATGATAATCAATCCGATCGGACCACCACGACTGAACATTTGCTAAAGCTTTTAATTGTATCGATAATTTTTTATCATTCGCAAAATTAAATTGTTTATGCATGCTTTCGTTGATTGAAGGGTCAAATTCAGGGTGTTGAGGAAGGTAAAATTTTGTCTGATATTAGCTGTGGTGTACCACAGGGATATATACTCGGTCCCTTCGTCTTCACGATGTAGGTATACTTCAGATATCACCAGTATAATAAAATCTAACATTTATTGCTATGCTGATGATAAGTAGGTATATTTCTTTTTCCTCTGATGAATTCCAATAAACTTTTCAGCAATTAAATAAATTTATGAATTCATGAATAGTAAAAAAATTGGTATATGTCTTAGTACTTCGAGAACAACTGCAATTATGGGTGGTTTTCCAATGCAATTCCCAAAAAATTAACGCAGAAAATAAATTATTTCTTATTGACATTGACAATCATAAAAATTTTGGTATTCATTTAAATTTTACCCAACACGTAAATAATTAAACTGTATACGCTCGACTTAAAATTCTCTATATTTGTGTATAAATTTAGTTCCATATTTGATTCATGATGAAGTTTATGATGATGCACAAGGAATTAAAACTCTACAAAATTGTATGAGGTTTGCATATTACATAAGAAAGCGGAATGAAACACGTATTATTCCATATTTTAATGTTACAAAAGATTTCCTGCGTCGGAACATGGCTTTACATAAAAAATCTATAGGATTTTAATCGGGTTTTCGAGGAGGCCATAGTTGAGGTCCACAACCTATCCAACAATGTGTAGCTTCTTTAGAAATTAGTACTTTTTCGAGAAAATTAATGTCTGTATCTGTACTTAACCTAAATTCCAGAAATAGTTGGCCAATTCGTGGTCTCTAACAATGACAATCCACACATACAAAGAAGACTTTTATTGATGGTAAATTTCGGCTTTGTAGACTCGCGTGACTTAATGATTCAGTGAACTCGTTTATATGTTAACGAAGAATTATTATGATGTTTCATGTGAGAATACGACTTGGCAATCCCCCTCGAGCCCAGCAGTTCTCAATATGTTTGCACGTTTTTGTTGAGTAAGGCCTTTATTTACATATTTTTGCGTCATGGGGGTTTAATATAACAAGATAAATCTCTATTTAGTAAATAGTCTACAGAATAGTTTACGTATTATTGAAAATTGTATATAAATACATTCGTAGAACTCGAAATGAAATTCGAAGGTTCCTTATTATTAAGCGAATTAAAATTTCTCTCCCCTTTCCGTTAATAAATTTTAATGAAATTCGGGCAACTTCCAGGCACTCTTTATTTCGACGGGATCTCGCCCTCAGGTGGGACTCGCAAATGAGCAAACAGGTCACCCTGATTAAGCTTTTGAGAAGAGGCGGCGAATAAATAAATTATAACCCTTCCCGCTGAAGCTAATTAAAAAAGACCTAATTACTAATTAGTAATTTATAAAATAAACCGGGCGTAAGGCCCCGACCTTTGTTAGGGCTCCCTCGTAGTACTCGACGCCGTCTTCCAGCTGCCGCATGAGCTCGTCGGCCACCGCTCCAGGCATCAGCACAGCGTAATCCAGATCCAGGTTCTCGGCGGTGGTTTTTTTCATCTTGACGACCGCTTTATTCTTCGCTAGCTGCTCGAGTGCTCGAAAGCACTTTGGAGGTCTATTTTCATCCGTTTCATTCTGTAAATAAGAAAGGTTACCTCCGGGTACGTTTGGAAAGGGAAAATGTTTTTTTTTTTGAAGAAAAGTACAAAAGTTTTTTTAATATCAATACTGGAGTATATTCTCTCATTGCATTTGTAGCCCAGTAAATGAAAAAAAAAAAATCGTTTCAGATAAAAATGGACTTTTTTTAGCTGTATTAAAAAGCGCTCTCCAACAGGAGTTTTTGCTTTTGTTTATACTTATAGGTTTTCAAAAAACGCTTCATTTGAGACCTGCTAAATTAAAATCCATTAACAATTTGTTTAAATAATTGCAAAAAACCAGCGAAATTTGAATTTGGTATAAATAGAAGAAAAGAGCATAAATCGTCTCTAAACTGCAGTAAAAGTTGTATTTTGTTACCGTTAAAAACTGAAAATTTGGTAAAAAAATATTTATTTGTTTACGAAATTTTACTTTTATTTTTTAGAAATATATAATTTTTTTTGCTGGCTTGCTTGCTTGCTTGCTGGCTTGCTTGCTTGCTTGCTTGCTTGCTTGTTTGCTTGCTTGCTGGCTTACTTACTTAATTACTTGCTTGCTTGCTTACTTGCTTATTTGCTTGCTTGCTGGCTTGCTTGCTGGTTTGCTTGCTTGCTTAAATACTTGCTTGCTTGCTTAAAAACTTGCCTGCTTGCTGACTTGCTTGCTTGCTTGCTTGCCTGTTTGTTTGCTTGCTTGCTTACTTACTTACTTACTTACTTAATTACTTGCTTGCTTGCTTGCTTGCTTACTTACTTACTTAGTTATTTGCTTGCTTGCTGGTTTGCTTGCTTGCTTGATTGCTTGCTGGCTTGCTTGATTGCTTGCTTGCTGGATTGCTTGCTTGCTTGCTTGCTGGCTTGCTTGCTTGCTTGCTAGCTGGCTGGCTTGCAGGCTTGCTTGCTTGCTGGCTTGCTTGCTTGCTTGTTACTTACTTACTTACTTACTTAATTACTTGCTTGCTTGCTTGCTTGCTGGTTTGCTTGCTTGCTTATTTGCTTGCTTGCTTGCTGGCTTGCTTACTTGCTTGCTGGCTTGCTTACTTGCTTGCTTGCTTACTTACTTAATTACTTGATTGCGTGCTTGCTTGCTTGCTTGCTTACTTACTTAATTACTTGCTTGCGTGCTTGCTTGCTTGCTTGCAAGTGCTTGTTTTTTAAAATTCATACTTGTTTATGTATAAACATTAAGACTTGAAATTTCGAGAATAAATCAATCAACCCTTAAACTTCATAAGAACGGTTATATTGAGATATCGAAAAAAATGCATTTTATAGTAATTTTTAATCGTTTAAAAAAAGTCCTCGAATACATTTTTTACACAATGTGGTGGGGGAAATAAGACAGAAACAAAAGTGGAAATCGAGACTTCATCTTAACTGCCCGAAAATTTTGCGATATCTCCAGTAATTGTGGACTAATTTTAACGTTTTTTTTAATCTGGGGTAGGGTATGAAAATAATAACATCTGCACGGTCCATTTTGCAATAATTAATTATTAATTTGTTATACACTAATAATTAATCCAACTTTTCTGCTTAAAAAAGGCATACCCTGCTAATATCTCTACAGTCAACCATTTTCAACAAAAAAGTATTTAAATTTGTAAATGTATAAAAAAAAATGTTTAATAGTTAGTTCTTGAAATCCATAATCACATCATAATCATTTGTGAAGTCAGAATTATAGGAATTTAAAAAAAAATATTCGCAGTTCTATCTGAATTTGGTAAAAATGCAAGAATTGTAATTGTGTTCCTGTGGATGTTTTTGAAGAAGCTCAAGAAGCAATTTTCCATTTATAGCCACCGAAATCCAGGGAATGTTACGAAAAAACAAATTTGAAAATTAGTGACGTACAGGATGTTGACAGCAGAAAGTTATGTTGACGAGTATATATCTAACAATCTTGATGTTGCAAGGAAAATCCAAAGAAAATATAGCTGTTCCTTACAAGAAGAGACATCCGTAACTTGTGCTAATTCTTCACAAATTTCGGCAGATGTTATGCGTTCCGAAAATGATGGCAACAATGCTACAGAGGTTGTTATTAACGGAAAAGAAGTTAAATGTAATAAAAAAAACGAAATATCTATTACTATAAATGAAAATGTTAATGTTAATTATTAGGTAAATAAATTAAATTTAATTTTCATTATTATATTAGTGAAATAAAGTTACTTTATTCTACTAGTGGATAAAGTGTCACTTTAGACAGTTCATATATGTGGATAAAAGTCCGATTATAAGGCAATTGTGGATAAAAGTTATTTATTTTATTACAGGGGTTAAATGAAGTGGCACAAATGATACCAGAGATTCCTTAGGTTAAAATAAGTTGATTGAACCTAACACACCTATGTCCTAAATCGCATAATAAAAATGATTTTGGTGAAAAATAAAAAAGGTTTTTCCTTAATAATTTCTAAACTTTTAGTCAGATATGTTTCATATTTTCAGGGTGGGAAAAATATTATAATAATCATCTTTGGCTGTCGTGTGCGGGCGCCCGCTGCAGGCAATGTTATGCATTAAATATGTATTAACTTGTTCGTCAGCCCTCTTATACAGCTTTTAGTAACAAATATATGCTCGGCAAATATGTATTTTTGATCTTATAAATTAGTATTTCGGATTTAATACCTCCAGGAATATCAACGCCTAAAATGGACATTTTTGTTAATAAATTCAGAACTTTGTGTAGTTTTCAAATGTTTAAAATGTCATTGAAATCTAATTATAGTACGTTTAAAATATTGGTTTACATGGTCTTCAGTTTTCTTAACGTCAATGAATTATATAGTATTTCATTCATTTCCGTTTGGCTAAGAAGTCCTAACCACAGTATCTACCTGAGAATACCAAGAAAGCCAACATTTACCTTTAATTATAAAATTGTCTGGTACCCATTTTTTTTATAATTTAATTATAGGAAATATAGGGATTTAAAAAAAGTTATGAGAATTACACAAAATACAGATGGTATAAATTTACCATTAAATTATAACATCAATATGTCAATTACAATTTTAGTGAAATATGAAAATGCCATGTATCCACCTTATATTACCATCGAGGTAGGAAATGTGGCAACGTCGCCGCTATATCTACACAACTACAAATACAAATCACATTGCCGGTCGGAATAAAAACAACTGTTTTTAACGCCGACTCGACTCTCTAAATTTCCCATTTAATACATTATTTAATTTTTTACGTATACAATTGCCTTAGCAACTTTTACACTATTTCTATTTCTGATAATAGTTCCACAAACCAAAATAAAATGTAATAGGTACCTATTATGTTTACATCTATAGACATTGGTAAAAACAAAAACAAAAGGAGTCTAGAATGTAGTCTTACCTGAGCTATCACTATCATGGCTTTATTGCATCTAAGAGACCCGTATTTCTTCTAAAGTATTTATATTCGAATTCTCGTATTTTTAACAACAGTAATAACTTAACCAAACTTAATATTTCAACGACACGACAGTGTGGATGGTGGGAAAGCAAGGATCGATAAACATGTTGCCAGCTTTATAAATTTATCAGGAGTTGTTGGGATTGAATAGAATTTTATAAATTTACAATCATCTCACATTTTGATAACACTTTTAAACATTAATTATACAAGATTCAAAGGTACGGGGATATTAACATAGAATCTGTCTCCCACATACAGGGTGATTCACAACTTATCCAAAACAATTTGGGAATAGATGCGTCATGAAAAATGGAGTCAATATCGTAAAAAAAAAATTGTTAAATCCTTATAGTTTCCGAGAAAAAAATTATTGAAGTTGTAGTACATTCAACCATTACATAGCTGGACAACTGTAGTCTCCAGCGTCATTCGTAATACGCGTGGAGAGCCACGTGGACTCAGCGACTTCGAATACTGAAATCCGATTTTACAGTCGTCGTTGCCATAGTGTTTACAATAGTTTTTTAGTAGTTGGTGTTAAAAATGGCTTGCGTGTATAGCAACTCGGGGTTGGTGGATGTCGTTTTAATTTATGGTGAAGCCAAAAAACATTTGTATTATGGTGAAGCATCTGTGTTATGGTGAAACAAGGCAGCATTTGTGTTAGCTCGTAGAAACTGAGTAAGATGGACCTTCAGTGAATTAAGCGCCCCCTTAAAATAGGCCTACAGCAAATTTTATTTAAAAAAGTACTGCATATTAATGTATTGTATTGAAATTAATGCAGCCTTCCATTAATTAGAAAAAAAACAAAATTTAATTGTTTTCGCAAATTTTCTTTCTATTTCTTGTTTGTTTTTGTGCCCATGCCCATTGAATATTCTTATTAAATAAAGTCGTTGTGTTTCACTTTTTATTTCATGGGTTACTGGACCAAAAGATATAAGATCAGCGTGATTGGCAATTTGATCGTAGAATAAATAATATGCAATATTTTTTTTATGAAATTTGGTGTAGGTTCATTTTAAAGGGTGCACTGGCGTACTCATAGCTAATATGGTTTCTTCAATTTTTACCCCCAAAAATAAAGTGGTAGGCCTTGTTTTTTGTATAAAAATGATGACACATACATATTATATTGAGAATCAATACCACGAATATTTTGTTCAACCAGTTGTGTAAAAAGAAAATGAAACTGTGAATCCCCATTTCTTAAAATACCCTCAACTCACAATACAAACAGTTGGCTCAATGTCGAATAACAACCGTAAAAGCCGTATTTGTAAATCCAATATTACCACTGTCAATACTGGAACTGCATATAAAATCAAATGAACCAATAATACGTGTAGTTTTGATACGTAAAATCACATAGGTATTCTGTTGCAAACAGCCCATTAGGAATGTTAAATTTACAAAAACTGAAAAGTGTACACTCGTAATTTCATTTCATATTAGTCGTAGATTTATTTGTGCTTGTAATAAAAATGTAAGGTAGGTATTATAAAAAAAACGACTTAATGTCCATTTGGTATATAAAAGAAAAAAATACTTAGCAGTATACCACTATTTTGTGACGCGAAAAATGAACTTGATTCATTAAAAGATCTAGAAGGTGTAAACAAAAGAAAAGTTGTAAAACGTATAATTATTTAAAAATAGGAAAGAGTTTAGTATCTTCACTTCCATTTTTGTAACGTTCTGTTACTATGTATGTACCTGCATTAAGCGAAACTGTCATAGGCGAGCGGTTCACCCCTAAAAAAAAGGCATGAACCGACTAAATTTTTAAAGCAAAAATCTACAGCATGAAACTTTTTTATTTTATAGTGTATTTTTCTGATAATTTACATATTTTTTTATATTTTTCGGCGTGGTCAGTCAATAGTTATAAACAAAAAAGTTGTAAAAAAAAATTACTAGCCGAATGGCTTTGATTTTTATTACAAAATTGACCAAAATAAACACTTTGGGTTCTTTGACAAAAATTCGAAAAATGCTTCGTTTCCGAGATATTTACAATTTAATGTGAAAAAAGAGACGAAACCGACAAACTTTCAGAATTTTTTTCTCAAAAACTACTGAACAGATTTTAATTCTAAAAAAGCATAATCGGCAGATTTTCTACTTTAAGATATATTTTTTTGGTATGTGTTAATCAATCTATTGAAGGTCTAAAGCGAGTAAAAAAAGTATTTTAAAGAAAATTATGATAACACTACAAATGTTCAAAAGATGATTCTGTTTGGTTTTGTAGCCGGAGTAAGGTTTTGCAAGTAATTAGTAAAATTTAAATATTCGATTTTTGGTTTTATAAATGGCTAAAATTGACTTGAAAGTTATACCAAAACTAAACTAAATAAGCTTTTTAAATCGTAAAATTAATCTAATAATAATAATAATTGACCTAGCGGTCTCGAAAAATAAAAAAGTTATTGGATAATTTATTGTACAGGATAATTATTTTATTTTTATTTTACAAAAATTTTAAGAGCAATAAAACTATATTAATTTCTTTTTTAATTTTTAAATAATAAGTTCTTGAGTTGAAATAAGCGTTTCATCATCAATTTCGGATGGAACATTCTGACATTCATCTGAGCACGCACAGACTGCACAGCATTCCAAGTTCGATGACAAACAGTTACAATTTTTCATAGAACATTTTCCACTACACGAACAATAATATTTTTGAAACATATCTAACGCAGTTTCTCCTTCGAAGTAATTAAAATCCAAACAACCATTTTCCATCCATCTGTCAATGAATCTAGTTACAATTTCACTATTTGTAGCCTGCTTCCATTCACTTATTTGCCATTTTGACCTCTAATAATAATGCTGGGTACGAAGGTGGCGTATGTTTATCATGATTTTCTTTAAAAGACTGTTTTTTTACTTGCTTTAGACCTTCAATAAAATAATTGACCTATTCCGAAAAAATATATCTTAAAGTAGAAGATCTGCCGATTATTATTCTTTTTTTAGAATTAAAATCTGGTAAGTAGTTTTTGAGAAAAAAATTCCGAACGTTTGTTGATTTCGTCACTTTTTTCACATTAAATTGTAAATATCTCGGAAACGAAGCATTTTTCGAATTTTTTCAAAGAACAAAAAGTGTTTATTTTGGTCCATTTTACAGTAAAAAAGTTTAATGCTGTAGGTTTTTGTTTTAAAAATTAGTCGGTTACCTTAATTTAGAAGCATCTTTTTAGGGGTGAACCGCTCGCCTATCATTAAAAATGCCATAACAAGAATCACGAGTTGAACAGAGATGGTAAAATCTACTATAATTATGTATCTAAATAAACCGATGTAGATGTAACATGTAAAGCCACATAGAACAACTCGGGCAAAAACAAATATTATCCCTAATTTAACAAAACAGAAATAACCGTAATTCCGTAAAGCTCACTAATTGTGTTATGCTAGAGGGGTGAGTAAGCAGACCAAAACAACATTTTGTATTCTTCGGACGGTACTAATCGTAATTTACGGTGGGCTATTTTTTTTTCATGAACGGCCAGATCTTTTCCATGGTTTAATGAAACATTACCGAATACACATATTTTTTTATTATTTCTAATTGTTGTTGATTACAGTTACAAACGAACCATTTCTGTAAATGTACAGGCCACACGAAAGTACGATTACTATACAAGGTGTTTAGAAACTTTGAAAGGATGTTCGAAGAGGTGTGAAAACACGATATGCAGAAATATTTGAGAGTTGCTTTTGCTGTACAGCAAGAATAAAACGCTCTCTCAACGGTAATAATAAAGTATTTTATTGAAAACTAAGTTGTATAGAAAAAGACGTGTTGACGGGGTGAGTGTTCGTTGGAGAGTCCCTGTGTGTGGAGTCGGTCGTAGATATATGAGTAAGCATCTGGTCGCCGGCGTCAGTCCGCCGTAGACTCTTCCTGGAACGCTGATGCGTCCGGCGGCGTCCTGCTGGCGCTCTTGACGTAATGCTTAAAACTGGGTCATTTGCGGCATGTCTACCTACATATTTATTGCAAATGTTTTTTTAATATCTTCTAACTTACCACATCGATGCGACGAAAACTTTTTGGAACCGCTGACTACACCGATAGCTCCACCTTTGTTTACAAGTGTTAGTGCATACGTTTTCGGGAATCGCTGTATATAAAGATGTGAAACTAACTCACAATTATTTACCAGTTGCTTTTTATGCACCCACATGATATGGGATATGGGTATCAAATGAAAGGGTTTGCTGAAAAGAATAGGAAAATAAAGTGACATCACTAAAAGCTTGTTTAAAATAATATAAAGGAACTTATTCACAGCCAAAGTGGTTATCAGTTTTTTCAATTAATGAAATCTGTAAACACTGTAAAAAACGTTATAAGTATGATTTTTGAAAATTACTATTGTAAAATCCTATAGTCACGTTTCAATACTTTCATTTTGGAATAGTGAATTGTTTAGTCACATGTGTTTAAAAAAGTATAGAACCTAACATTGGTCACGTATTCTATAGATAGATAAAATTACAAGTTGTAAACATGATTCTAAATATAAAAAAACACTAAATTAACTGTTAAATAAATTATAGGCAGTATATTTTTATTGGCCAGTAATTATACGAATTCCTTTTTTAATGACTAATAAACACATTTTTTTATTAAAGTAGAAAATGTTACTACTGCTATTAGCTGAAAGTATAATAAAGAATTTAGAAATAAGTAAGGTAATCGTGTTTTCTTATTTGTTTTATATTAGTACCTAAAACCTCTTAAAAGTATGGTGAATTGGGCCTAAACCAATACACTACACAATTTACAGTATGCCCACACAGTGGCCTCTATTTACAGTAGTCACGAATTAATTGATATGATGAAAAGATAAAAATTTCAGCAAAATTCCAGAAATGTTGGGACCTACTACCAATTTTATTTTGAAAAAAATATACAGCGAATGTCATCACAATGTTGCCACGACATCGCGATTGTATGTCGAGTGCTTTCCTTCACTATTAACGATAATGTAACTTGAAGTTTGTTTATGTTGTTCAAAGGGATCAAGAAACA